AAGGCCTCTCATTAAATTAGGAACAGAAACAGTTACCCTATTGACTTACAAGGCATGATCATTTAAGTCTCCTTCAAAAGATATTCCCACAGAGGAATATATCTTTAAGAAACCTAGCAACACCCGAAACCGGTTTGGCTCAATGGACAGAGGGTCGGCTTGGGGACTGAAAGGTCCTGGGTTCGATTCTGGTGAAGGGCATGTACCTTGGTTGCGGACATATCCCCAGTATGGGGTGTGCAAGAAGCAGCTGATCGATGACTCTCTCTCATTGATGTTTCTAACTCTCTATCTCTCTCCCTTCCTCTTTATACAAAATCGATAAAAATATATATATTTTTAAAAAAAAGAAAAGAAAAAGAAACCCAGCAACAGCAAACTTATGCTTCAATGAAGCATTTTAATGAAAAGTCTGAGTTTGTTTAGAGGTATATAAATAATTCTTGAGAATTTTTCATTTAAACCCAATTTTAGTGGAAGACAATATCACAGAATATATCACACAGAATGTGTTAATCATTCAAAAAATACTAAAGAGAATAAATTTTTCATCGGCTTGAAATTCAAACATAAATTGATACTATTTTCTAGATCACTTTAAAAAGAATGTAATTACTATGTATAATGTCACAGGTACATACCAATATTTGACAGACATATGGTTCTTTGCATACATAAGTTTTGAGACTTTTGTTTTCATGACAAAGAACACAATAAGTGTTCTTTAAAATTAATTGTCATATTCTGTAGAACTGGTGGTGTGAAGATTTTTATTCTTCAAATATTACATATTGTTTTCCTTTCCAAATGTGTTATCATTCACATCTTTAGAATACAAAGTAATCAAAGGGGTTGCTAAAGCCAGAGTTGCATATTCTTCCAACATTTCTCCATCAAGAATCTAATACGGTATGCAGCACAAAAGACAAAGTCCGTTTCAACTTAGAACAGTCTACCTGAAGTTTTAAAACCTTCCATTCTTCTACTGTCTACTGGATACCGTGGTAGGTACTGGGGATACATTTTTAAGTAGAAGAGATTCAATTCCTGCCTTCAAGGAGTTAGTGCAGCGAATGAGACATAAATTAATCAGTCAGATAACTATATTTCTGCATATTGTAAGAAGAAAAAACAAGGGTGTGATGAGGTATGTGAACATCTGATTTACTTTTGCAGGTGAGGAGAAGCTTTCCTGAAGAAGTTATGAGTGAGAGGAAATAAGAGTGTTATTAGGCAGAGATAAATTGGCCAGAGGGGAAGAAAACCTATTCCCCAGCAGAGAACAGAATACGGGCGAAAAGATAGGAGGAAACATCAGAATTATCTTTGGGGGAAGAGCGGTTGCAGAGATACCGGTTAGGAGGTTATGGCGGCAGTTCCAGGTGAGAGATGATGGTGTTTTAGATTAGGAGGGTAGTAATGAAGACAGAAGGCAAGATTGAAGAGATACCTGGGAGGAAATCAGTGCTACACACTGAAGCCACGTAGAGTTAGCAGCATTTTAGAGATGACAGATGTTGAGATATTTTTCTGTTGTGAAACAAAACAGTAAATTATCTGGGAATTTGAGCTTATCTGATGCTCCTCAATAAAACAGATAACGAATGTAGCCAGGCTCTCTAACAGCAGTAACATGTTAGCAGGGGTGACTTCAGGTAGTGTGCCAGAAGCCCATGACCAAGACTACAGTAAAGTCGACCATGTATTTAAGAAATAATTACGTATCACATTCCAAATGTCAAAACTACTGTGATTTTCAGGGTACAGCTTATAACATCCCATTATAGCACTTAGTCTTTCTCCTTTGTACGTCTGTGAAAATAAGATTTCAAGACTTAGGGGAAAGGAGAAATAGAAATGTATAATATTAGGAATCAACTAGCAACATAAATTTGTAAAATAACATTTGATATCAGGCATATCTTATTATATCTTAGATTACTAGGGGGGGAAAAAACTCAAATCAACATTGTATCTTAAAGATGTTGCCATGTCAAGGAAACACATGTCATTTTATGAAATACAAGACCAATGTTTGAAATGCATAGCAGGAACAACAACTTCTACAAAGAGAGCTTTTTTGTCAGGAAATTAAGACATATATACTCATTAACTCTACTCCTTTCCCTGTTTCAGATTACTAATAAATGGAAAATTTTTACAAGTTTTCTTTCTTTCTGCTTTATGTAACCAGTATAATAAAATATTTATTAAATCCAGTAATAGGCTTAAAGTTAACAGGAAGTCTACAGTTTCCCCTTACAAAAGGACTAACAACACTATTTCCCAAGTACTCCAATATTGAAATTTAATTCTTGGCTCCCCTACTTCATGAAGCAGAATTAAAAAAACAACAAAACAGCCGGGACCGGTTTGGCTCAATGGATAGAGCGTCGGCTTGGGGACTGAAGGGACCCAGGTTCGATTCCGGTCAAGGGCATGTGCCTTGGTTGCGGGCAGATCCCCAGTAGGGGGTGTGCAAGAGGCAGCTGATCGATGACTCTCTCTCATCGATATTTCTAACTCTCTGTCTCTCTCCCTTCCTCTCTGTACAAAATCAATAAAATATATTTAAAAAAAAAAAAAAAAACCAACAAAACAAAAAACAGAAAGGAGGAATAATTCCTAGTGTTTCACTTAAACATACTAATTTTTATCTATAGACCCCAGTTTAAATCTCATGCACAAGAGAGCTTTGATATAATATATTCTAAAATCTATTTATTTCTCTACTTATATTCCCATGAAAAATTACCTTCCTTAGTCTTAGGTAGTCCAATGTGCATGTAGTTATTTTCCCTTGGGCACTGTAAGAACATAAAATGCTTCTAGTTTTACAAATGTTCTGACAAGCTATATGAAAACACACAGTAATTAGCACTGTGGTCCCACACACAATAGTAGAATCCTGACAGGAACACTAGCATGAAAGAGATATATCACTTAGTCAAAACCCCAACCTGAGCAAAGTAGGAGTCCAAAGTTGACAAAGGCTTATTAATGACCTGTAACATAATAGGTAAAATCTAGGAATGCACATTTATTTATGTCTTTGTAATCTCTGAGCTGTTAATAAAAATGTCACATTTGAAATGATGGGGTGGTATAGTTAATAACTAATAGAGGAACTGATCTCTAGAACTGTCAATAAATCAGTGTCATAGAACTTGAGGGAAGAAAGGACCTTGGGGAATATGGAGTCTATTCCCTTATTTTAAAAATAAGAATGTCAAGGGATAGGAAGAAAATGCAATGAGTTCATATACCTATTATCTATTAGGTAAGAGACTCAAATACTTGTAGCATGGCAGAATCCAAGTCTGGTGTACTAGCTAGTACTCTTCTCAGATCTCCAAATAAAAAAATTTAAAAAAAATATTATATATATATATATATATATATATATAATATATATATTTTTTTAAGCCACACATGGTTTGGAAAAACACACAAATTATTGAATAGAGGTCTTAATTGCTGATTCATTAACCAGAGATACTATGAAGAACAAGAAAATTTATACTTACATTTTTTAAAATGATTCTATCATACTATATATTTTCACCCCAAACCTACTATACCACAATAAACCCTCTAGACCCACACATAAACATAAATACAGTATATTAAGCTTATGATTAATTATTTCTAAAGTAAGTTTAAAAATACAGAGTAATCTTCAAGAAGAAAAGAGAACAAAAAGGAAGCATACAGCTTTATAGACAGTCAAAGGGAGAAGAGCGAATCTGAGTTTTGCTTCAGTGATGCTATAAATGCAGAATGGGAAAATCTAACCCTTTTAGCTCTGTCCTCTGCGGGAGTTTCGGGTTTCCTGCATCCATCAGTAAGAGCCCTCGTCCTGCTGCCTACCTAAGTGACTATCCAGCCGCTTGTCTAGCTTTCTCCAAAGCCTTCAGAAATTGCTCTCTGCCCCTCCAAAGTGCATGTTTATATTCTCTAGACAAAGCTTTGGGGATCAGGGGGAAAACATCTCAATTCCTCTCATCCATGGAAAAGGCGGCATCTGTTGCTTTTCTTTTAAGACAGCCTTTTGAAATTCTCATGAGATGAATCCTTAGAATTCACTGGCCCTCTCGAACAAGAACACTGAAGAGACGGCCAGTCGCTACCAAAAAATTCTTTAAAAAAATGGAAGTCAGCTGTGTCTGAGTACATCCAGACAAGCATTTTCTAGGAGTCTGTTCTTACTGAAGAATAGCATCTTTTCTTTTCTCTTCTTTCTTTTCTTTTCTTTTCTTTTCTTTTCTTTTCTTTTCTTTTCTTTTCTTTTCTTTTCTTTTCTTTTCTTTCTCTCTCTCTCTCTCTCTCTCTCTCTCTCTCTCTCTCTCTCTCTCTCTCTCTCTCTCTCTCTTTCTTTCGTCCTTTGCCAATTCAATCTTACTAAACAAAAGGGCAAAACTTTCATAGCATGTTCTTCCCCTTCATCCTTAAACAATCAACAGACCATGCCCACTAACTTCCTACTCTACCTAACACAATATGTCTGTCCCTTGAACAAAACCCTTCATGCTGCTTTATGTCCTGCCTGTGATATTTCTGATTTTAAAAAATCCTTCTTGGATCATCCCAAGTTTAAAGCCGGGCCCACGGTTACCTGTAGCATGTCGCTGCATGCGTGTATGCGTGCTGCAAAGCCCCCCCAGCCTACTGCCCCTCTAAGTCACAGACCTCCCACTCAGTCCCAGCAGGAACTTGTTTGGTTGTCTTTCCAGGTTCTGTTCCTTCCTTCTACACCAAGTCAGGTTATGGATCCTACACTTCATTATGTTAAAAGGGCCACATCCCCAGGGGTGCTGGTAAAAGAACCCGCCTCGCCTGGCTGAGCAGTGTTGCTCCAGACTTGGTGTTAGAGACCTGCGGTCAGCAGGCCTAGCACTTGGACCTGAGTGTGAACTCCTTCCCTTTCCCTCTCCCCTACACCCTTTCCCTCCCTTCTTTCCTCCTCCCTCCCTCCTCTCTAAGCCTCCCCAGCTGGCTACCTGTTGGCAGTGCTGGTGGTGCTGCTCCCGCTGCTGTGTTTCTGGGCCCGGCTCAACCTCCGCGGAGGCTTCGAATGCTGCAGCCGGGGGCTCGGCATGGACGGAAACGTTGAGGCGTAGCCATGTTCACACTCTAAAGAGACAGCAAAGAAAAAAAAAAAAAGATATAAGGGAACTATACCCAAATCCATGGATCCACAGCACTGAAGTGCTTGCAGTGGTAGCATGTTGTTAAAACAGGAGAAGAAAAAGAGGCACTCCATTTCCATTCTTTCTGGTTGGAAGATAAAAGTCCCAGTCCTTCCCTGGACATCAATCCTGTGACATTGCACACGGACCCACTCAACGGCCTGGAAGGCGTGTGGAGACTTCCTCTAAATCAAGTGGATTTATCCCTCTAACAAAGCCATTGTCTCCAAGAATTCTTGGCTTACCCTAATCTCTGAGCCAGGTTACCCTTCACCTCCATCATTTCACTGGTCTCACGATTTCCCCTTTCCTTGAAGTCTTCCCATTCTAGAAGGTGTCATTCTAAGCCTCGCATTTTCATGTACTTAGTGATTCAATCTCCTCGCCTTAGGACACTTTCTCTCCTGACACCACAGCTCCCACTGCTCCTCTTCCTACCCCACCTCTTGACATCTCCTCCAGTCTCCATCCCTAAAAGGATCTCCCATCTCCCCACCTTGATGGATCGCCAGAGGTCCCGCCACAGTGTGCGCCCTCTCCTGGCTCCCAGCCCTGCCTGTGCTGCCCCCCCCCGCTTCCTCCAGTCTCTGGGGTCCCCTCCCCCCAGCTTCAGGTTCACCCTCTCCAGCCGCCAGCTCCCCAGCCTCCCAGCTCCCACCCGCTACCCGGCCCCTGCACCGCCCTCCTCCCCTGCACAGACCTACGAGCGCCTTCCCACACGTGTGTCCACCTCCCCTCACAAAGGGCCTCCCCCATGCCGCTCCCTCACCAGCTCACACGTGCACCTCCTCACACGCATCTCCCCTCACAATGCACCCCCTCACACATGCGCCTCTTCATACACGCATACTCCTCACACATGCACACCTCCCCTCACACATGCACACTCTTCACACATGCACCCTCCTCTCACGTGTGCACACTCCTCACACATGCACCTCCTCATACATGCACATTCCTACACGCACACCTTCCCTCACGCATGCACACTCCTCACACATGTACCTCCTCATACATGCACACTCCTACAAGCACACCTTCCCTCACGCGTGCACACTCCTCACACTTGCACGCTCCTCACAATGCACACCTCCCCTCACGTGTGCACACTCCTCACACATGCACCTCCTCAGACATGCACACTCCTACACGCACACCTCCCCTCACACATGCACACTCCTCATATAGGCAGCCTTCTCACATACGCACACTTCCCCTCACATGCGCATACACCTCACCCACATACGCAATTGCCTCATGCACGCACGACTCCTCATACACGACTCGCACACGCGCACCTCCCCTCATACATGCACCCTCTTCACACGCGCACTTCACACGCGCACACCCCTGCTCACACGCGCACCGCACCCGCCGCACTGCATTCCCCGCGCGGAGCAGGAGTGCGCGGGCTCCGGCGGCGGCGGCGCCCAGCCGTTACCTCGGTCTCGGCGCTCCAAAAACTCGGCTGCCTCCAGCAGGCGCTGCACATTGATCATCCGCACCCGCTCCATGGGCACCGCGGGGGCGACCTCTCCACGCTCCCTTCCCCGGCCCACAGGAGGCGCCGCGGGCGGCTACAGTCCGGCGCCGCCCCGGGACATGTGCGGCGGGGGCCGGCCAGCCCGCCCGGCCGCTGCTCGGCGCGCCGTCCGCCCCCGGCCCCGCCGTGCCCGCGGCCCCACCGCCCGGCCGCGCCGCCCGCAGCCCGCGCGCGGTTTGTTTACCTCTCCGCGCGAGCACGGGGAGGGGCGGGAGCAGCGCCGCGGCCCGCCCCCTCCCGCCCCTCCTCTGCCTCCTGGGAAATGTAGTCCCGCCCCGCCGACGGCACGCCGGGAGTTGTAGTACGGGGACCGTTTTGATGCTCCTGCGTGCAGCCGGATTCAGCAATGGCCGCCGGGACATGTAGTCACGTTTGGCTTCTCTATGGGACAGAAAGACCAAGGGGTTACCTTGGCTCTGCTCCTGGCAGGGAAGGGTCTGAGGGAGCTGAGTGTCCACTGCCAGGAGGCCCTTTTCTCAGCGATTACCAGCGGGTGCCCAGAGCTGGAGCATTCTTTTACCGAAGTTCCAGTCCTCTATCCACCCCCACTCTCCTGTAACTCCTGTGCCTTAGTCTCGCCCTCTGCAAAATGTGCTGCTCAGACGGCACACACAGAAACACTTGAAAAGCCAAAATCACCGTTCAGAAACAAGGGAAGACCCCTTCGCACACAGAGAGGGCTCCATATGGTCCCTCTTTCTTCTCCTACCTCAGTTTTCACATAGAGGTAGGTGTTTCCTTTTTAAACTTCTTTTAAAAACTCCTTTCTCCTCCCTCAGTCCTCCACTGCTGATTTTAGAGGCCAGAAAACCACTCTAGTGCTATAAGTGAAGGATATAATTCAGTGGGTAAGTGATTTGGTGCTGAAGTCACACGGGGTCAGTTCAAATCCTGACTCTGCTACTTACACTAGCTGTGTGGTCTTTCCAAGCCTCATTTTTCTCATGTGTAAGATGGACATAATTACTCCATTTACCCAAATGTTAAAGGCCTGCCACATGCCAGGCACTGTACTAGACGTACAGTGTACAGTAATGAGAGAAACAGACAAGGCCCCTGCTCTCAAAGAGTGTGTAGTCAGTACGAGCTTAGTGGGAAGATTAAATGAAATAATTCCAGCACTTAGTTCATGACACTTAATAAATGGAAGCTATGATGGCTGTTTCCTCTCATGTTTTCCATAGAGAGAACTGCAAGCAGCGGTTAACGACAGCTGGGACCACATTAAAGGACTGTCAATGGCTGCCCTCACCATCACCCTCTTTCCAAGTCCTCAAAGTCCAGACCAGAGTTTCTCAGTTTCAGCATTACTGACATTTTGGGGTGAATAATTCCGGGACCGGGAGGGGGGGGGTAGGGGGGAAGAACAGGAGGCAGTGGATGATCGTGCATTTTGGGATGTTCAGCAGCAGCCCTGGCCTCTACCCATTATATGCTTGTAGCACACCACCAACCCCCAGTGTGGCATCCAGCAGTGTCTCCAGACATTGCCAACTGTCTCCTGAGGCACAAAATCATCTCCATTTGAGAACCACTGGTCTAGGGAGAGGAAAGGCAAGAAGGTCATAACTGCTGAATGCTCTAGGACCAAGTTGGTAATTAAGTAAACATCCATAACTTTTCCCCACCCTGATTATTTTAACCTGCTGGTGGACATCCAGAATAACAGGAAGCTCTTGGTGAGGGGAGAAATTCCAGTGGCTACTGCAGAAAATACCATCTCAGGATGAAAATCGTACTCTCAAAAATGTCATGGGCTTCATACTGCATTTTAATACTTTCTCTCTCTCTCTCTCTCTCTCTCTCTCTCTCTCTCTCTCTCTCTCTCTCTCTTCCAAGTGAACAAGATTTCCAATGAGGTCAAAAACTGCAGCAGTCTGTGCCAGCTCTTTTAAATATTATACTTGGCACCACATTTAAGAACCAAATAGATGGTCCATCAAGTGCAGGGAGACCCAAAATGAGAGGTGTTCACAAGCCACAGGAGAGTTGAATTTTTTGTAAAGGCTTTCAAACAGGGACTGTGCTTTTTCAGCTGTTGGCTGGGTCACTTCAGATCTAGATTTTCCCATTGGGTATTGGTAACAACCACCCTACACCCACAAAAAGGGTCATGTTGAGTAGGGGAAGAATAGGATAATTTAAAAGACAATACCTATTCACTCATAACATCTGTTAGGTGAGGGTAGAAATTATTTCTACCACTTACAGAACCCCTTTAAGCTTTAGATCTCATATTGCTAAGAGCTACCTGCAGTACTTAAAAGAGGTAGTTTTATGACAGATAAAAGTCTACCCAATGGGAATGAAACCATGTGACATGCAATCAAGAAAAAAAAAGTACAAACTGAAAATACATATGGGTTCAAGATGGGTTTAATGCATAGATCATAATCCCTAGGACGTTATTAAGAGAAAGTGAGATGATGCACATGTCTGGCCTTTCTTAGTTGACCTCCCCCCCACCCCTGAAATTGTTATTGTTCAGTTTTTGGGAGGGAAATCAGTTTTTCAGTTGAAACATATTGGAAATTTTAGCCCAGAAAGAATAATTATTACTGGAAATCTTATAAAGTAGATACATAAGGATTAACCTGAATCCATTATGTCTGTAATGATTTTTAATAATATATTCTCTTCAGTGAATATATATTAAAAGCATAAAATAAGGGAAACATACAGATAAGCTACAAGTCACAAAAGAACTCTATATTCTTGTCTTGTAGTCTATATTTCAGAATAGGTGAGCATTACAAACCAGAAAAACTGTTGCTTTGAATCAGCCCTTCATTAGAGTCATGGCCAAGAGAGAGATGGGGAGATAGGAAGCAGGGCAAGCGCCACTCAAAGGCCATCTGCACACATGGAAGAAGAGAGATGATGTAATGGTGGGCAGTAGAAAGTGTTAACAGCTGGTTTATATGTAGAATATCAGCCTTTTCTCCTTTTATTTTTTTTTATTTTTTATTTTATTTTTAGAGAAGGTGGAAGAGAGAGGGAAAGACAGACAGAAACATCAATGTGAGAGAAACTCATGGACTGGTGGCCCCCTGCATGAGCCCCAGGCTGGGGAGGAGCCTGCAACCAAGGTATGTGCCCTTGGCCGGAATCGAACCCAGAACCCTTTGGTCTGCAGGCCGATGCTCTGTCCACTTAGAAAAATCAGCTGGGGCTTTTCTAACAGCAATTGAAGCGGCCACTTTCTTCTCCCTGATCCGGGGGACCCCGGAATGTTTGTTGGCCATGCGGGCCTCCTCCAGCACGAAGCTTGGGGCTTTAGCCTCAGGAAAGTGATGCCACCCACCAACCATTCCCCAGTTTCCGTCCCAGCCTGGAAGAACCCAGGGGCAGCCGTGCCCTTCCTATTGCTCACACGAGTCCGCCTTTGCACTACAGGTGCA